GGGCTGAGCTGAGGGGACGGAGCCGCACCATGAGGCTGCTGCGCGCCCTTCTGCGCAGCGCTGCCCCGGGCAGCGCCTCCCCGGGCAACATCCCGCAGCAGGTGGACTTCTACTCACGCTTCTCCCCCTCGCCGCTCTCCATGAAGCAGTTTCTGGACTTCGGTGAGTCCCCGCTGAGCAGCTGTCGACCGCTGCCCCTCCTCCCACGGGTGCCCGTGAGGAGCGGGACGGCCGCGACCCCTCACCCCGTCAGCGCTGCCCTGCTGCTCCTTATCTGTGAACGCTGTGCTTTCTGGCAGAAAAGGGCTCTGCTTCCTTCGGGGGCATGAGGCCCAGCTGGCTCGTTCCCGGAGACCGCAACTATGTCAAGGTTGAAATTTAGCTGAAAACTCCAGTTTTTGGCACCAGCAGGGTAGCTGTGTGTTTTCCTGCAGAATCCGCAGTGTTGGGGAGAGGGTGGGAACAGCTGTGACAACTGGTAGCATTAGAGCAGTGACTCAGACAGGTGAGACTGGTTAAGCCTTTTGCTAAGCAGCATGCAGCCTTTTAAAGGCATCTTCCGAACACATGAAGCCTTGAGCCCCAGTTGGCACCGAGGGGCTGAAACAGTCATCACTTCTCAGTCACTTGCCTGTGCCCTACATTGTAGAAACATTGTACCCAAACGTCGCTGTTTTAGAAGGTGTGTGAGAGAAGGAACAGGATGCAGACAGCAAGAGCCATCCTGGAGGATTTGGAATCTAGTCTTGAAAATGAGTAAATCAGTAACAGGACACTAACAGTGCCAAAATCACTCCTAATGCTTCCAGGTTTGACTGTCAGCTTGGAGACAAAAGGGATCACACGAATTGTTCTAGTCTGCTTTAAAGCAAAGACCATATAGAGAAAGGTTGTGTAAGTCACACTGAGACACCTTTTCAAAGTCTGAGGTCAGAGACATTCTATAATATGTTCTGTTTCCATACCCAAGGCATTTTGGTGTGCATAAATGTTTACATGTTATATATTTAACTAGTTAATAGTTTCATGGCTCTTTATAGTTTTGCAAGTAGAACCTAAGTGAGATCTAATTCTAGAACCCCAAATTTTGTATAAGCAGGAAGACTTACAAAGGAGATTTTCTCACAATTATCTGCTGTCACTTCATCCATCTATTCAACATTTCACTTGTGGCAATGAAATGTATCTGACATTTAAAACTCCAGATTCCTACAGGAGCTCCACCATATGTTCTGTTGCTGCTGTATTTTAAGAAAAGAATCTTGCAATTCAGAGTTTGCTTTGACCTGTATTATTTTACTACTGATAAATTGCTTACCATAAAATCATTGTTTATTTTTAAGTCATACTATTTCCTTGTGTCAGAAGATTCTTTCTCTTAGTACCTTAACCTTTTTACCTTTATGGTAAAAATAATCTTGAAAATTTCTACAGTATTTTTTTCCTTTCTTTTGCTTACGGATTTAATCACAGAGAGTAAAAACTAATAACAGAAATAAAAAAAGAATGCAAGACAGAGACAGTATTTGTCTATAACACATATTTGTCTATAACACATTCTGTAGCCATTACAATCTGATCATGTTTTCATTAAGGAATTTTTTTTCTCCATTTGCAAGAGTGAAAGCAGTCAAAGAGGAAATAATAAAATCTGGTAAAGCTAACTTTAAAAAAGTGAAATGTTCTATAAGCAAATTTAGGTCTACTCTTGGGTTATAAGACCACAGTATTTTCTGTAGGAGTTTTACCCATTCTTTGCCTAGATATAGACAGTAACTGCACAGGGGAAGAGAGTCACTTGCCTATTCAATTTGCCTGTCCTATACTGCCTTGCATGTTTGACCCAAGATTGCAAAGATAAGACCTTCAGATACAAAAACTATTTTCTGAAATGTAATTTTCTGAGTATATGAGGCATTTAAATATTACATTTACACTCTAATACCTGATTTGTCATTGGAATTCTACCCAAGAAAATGGAAAGGCCAGTAACAGTCATGCCTGAAATGCAATCTGACTAGGGAGAAGAATGAAAGGTTTCTAGGCAGAGGTCGTATGTAGACAGTACATACTGCTGGTAAGTGCCATTGTGGAGGAATTTCTTGTAAATTTTTCATTTTTTTAAACTGACATTCTTGCATCAGTGGGGTTTATTATGTGTCTGAGTCTGCCTGCTTTAAAGTAAACTGCTCTATTTCAATTTGGTGAAGGTTTTTCTTGTACAAGGCACTCCCAGCTTCCTTTTTTCTTTCCTCATCCCTTCCTTTAATCTTCTTCCCCAACTTCCCCTTGCCAAATGGAAGGAGTGAACTGAGCAGTAACACAGGAGTTAATTTTTAGGAGATACCTGTTGTGAAACACCACACCTGAAGTATGCACTTCACTGCAGCAGATGGGCAGGTTAGGAAGTTCAGATGCTGTTTATGTGACAATCTTTAAGTCTAGAAAGAAGTCTGGCTGAGAGTGATGCACAGCATTTCTTAGTTTCTTCCCCACGCTGCACCCTTTCTTGCCTAGGAAAACAAGCTTTGTGGGAGTAAAAGCAGGCCTTGATTTTAATAACCACATTTAATTGCCACCCCCACAGATGACACTTGTTCTTACAAAAGCAGAGGTCAGTTATCAAAAGAGGCAGTAGTTTTACTTCTAGCTTTTAAAAGTGTAACAAATTCAATGTATTAGTATCCTAATGGCTAAGCAGAGTAGCTGTCCTACTTTCATTTCTTTCTCACTATTCATGTGAATTCATTCACCTGACTTCTGTTCCTGTAAGACTGAATTTAAACTGCAACAGATTTAGTTGAAAATGAGATCAATACTACTGAATTAATTTCCTTAAAGTGTTTGAGGATGAGTTACGATAATTCACTAAGATCAGTGATGAAAAGGAGGTTATATGGGACTATGATACTTTCTTAAGCATCCTTCTCAGAAATAGTTTCCTGTACTGGTTTAATTTGCTTCTCTGACATGCTCAGAATAACATATTGTTTGATCAGTGCTGGTTAGAGTCAATGTTTGCTGCAAATAAAATGAACAATATAGATAGAAGCCATATTTTAAGCTGAACAGTACAGGTCTGTAACTGTTGAAATAGTTTGTTTATATGCTGGAGATTCTCATTAATGCAACAGAAAGGTTGCAGTATGCCATAAATTTTGAAATACAAGTGGGCTGCTGCCATGAAACACTGCATTACCTGCATAGCCTGGCTGAGTCAGCTTTGAAATCAAGGTATAGGCCTCTTAGGTAAGAAAGTTTGTGTAGTTCTTTACCGTAAGTATTGACTTCGTTCTGATGTATTGGTCTTAGGATCTGAAAATGCTTGTGAAAAGACTTCATTCATGTTTCTGCGACAAGAGCTGCCTGTGAGATTGGCAAACATAATGAAGGAAATAAGCTTGCTTCCAGACAACCTCCTAAGAACACCTTCAGTTCAGCTGGTGCAGAGCTGGTAAGAGCAGTGACATTCCATTCCTTGAAGGGTGACCTTCTGCATAAACACAGCTTGGAGGAACTCACTCTCTTCTACTGAAGGAACATTCTTAGGCTTGTTATGTGCACATCACTTTTTTATACTGAGATGTTAAATATACCAGTGTGATCAGAAACTAAATTTACAGATGTGGAGAAAAAAAAACATTTAGGAGCAATTACAGAACCCACAAGGGAATTAAAAAATAATGAAGTGTTGCACACACTCATGTATGAGGAATCAATTTTTTTTTTTAAACAAAAATCCATCAGAGGAGTGTTTAATAGGGAACTTACCTAAAAGTGAAGCTAGTTAAAGAAAACAACAGAAGCATACTAAAGCACAAAATGTTTGAAAAACATTGCAGAAACCATTTACAAGACAGGTTATTGCAGCTTGAGAGTAAAGGTATAGAAAATATGGAGAAAAAGCAATAGGAAGTTCCCAAAGCCAAAACATAAAAGAGAGAGAACATGAAGGTATTAAAGTGAAAAAGACATTATTTGAAAAGTAAAGTTTGCTTCCAAGTAAGGAACTTAGGTTTACTTTTTAAAAATGAAAGCAAAACAAAGAGATTGCTTGGCAACTGCTAAAGGCACAAGGATTTCTGTAAAGGCTTTTAAATTTAAGATACCTGCCAGGATCTGCAAGTAAGTGGGATTGACTAGATGACTGAATATGAAAAGAGCTATCAATGAAGATGAAGGCTCTTAATCAAACACAAATGCTTACATTCTCATGATACTAGGTGACACTGATCAAATGGGAAATTAATTCCATTTGGGCAAATGTAAAGCAGAACACAGGGAAGAACCTCCTCTCCTTGTGTGCTTGCTTCCTCACAATGGAAAAATAAATTTTGATGCTACTGGGAATATTTTTCTGGATATGTCAGTTGATGGCAAGAAAGAAAATAGTGTTAGGAACTAAATAACAAATGGGGAGGAATATAATTGTACCACTGAGTTAGCCCATTATTCCCCTGAATTGCATGCAGCTACATCCTGAACAGAAAATACCAAGAAGGATAATCAGAGGGTTGGAAAATTTCTACGTGAGAAGAAACCAAATAGAATTCTTCAGCTTGGAAAATACGTTTCTAAGGAAAGGGATGGCAGAAATACTTAAATCATGAACAAATGGAAAGATTTTTCTACTAACAAGAATGTGCTGAGGCTGCAAATAAGTGATCACCTACTGGGTTTAAAACACAAAGGTGATATTTTATACATTCTAATTAAATTGTGGAATTCATTGCTCTGGGAATTTTGGAAGAAAACATCATGAAGAGATTCAAAGGAATCTAACAAAATTCATAGGGAGACAGGTAGAATGATTTGGAAACATGCAACACTGGAAAGCCACAACTTGCTAACCAGAGAGATCTGGGGAAGCATATTAAAATTGATCTTTATCCTGTTTGTTTCATTGAAAGGTATGTCCAAAGTCTCCAGGAGATTCTGGACTTTAAGGACAAAAGCTCAGAAGATTCAGGGGCTATTCAGAGGTAAGGCTTTGCTGTCACATATATCTTGTTAATATTGGATAGAAGAACTGGCAAGAAAATAGCTGAAAAAAAATTTCCTATCTCAAATCTTTACAGAAAAACTGCAGCAATGTCATCCCATCCCTAAAAGGAGGGTACATTAAAATAGGAAATTAAGCACTTTAGCATAATGTCATTCTGTAGAATGTTGGCTGACCATAAGTGCCATTTAACAGGCATGGGTTGTTCTGCATGAAAACAACTGGCACAGTTTTCTCTTTCTCTTGGCAGATATCAAGATAATTATATCTTGATATCTTTATTTATTTTCTTGATTCTTGGCAGTATCAAGATAATAAATAAATAATTTTATAAATAGTCAAAATAGTGCATTATTAATTGTTTCAACACTAGTCACCTGAAATACGCTGTAAAGACTGACCTGCCTTCTCATTGCAGTAGGCAGACGTGATATTTTTGTATATATCTTAATTTTTATAGACAGGCACTCTGTTTGCCAGAGTATTAAATTCCCTTGAAAGTGAAATACTAACAATGTATTTGTTTTAGTTTTACAGATACTGTGATAAAAATCCGGAATCGCCACAATGATGTAATTCCTACGATGGCTCAAGGAGTAATAGAATACAAGGAAAGCTTTGGCATTGATCCAGTGACCTCACAGAACGTGCAGTATTTTTTAGACCGCTTCTACATGAGCCGCATTTCAATCAGAATGCTTCTTAATCAACACTGTAAGTGCCAGTGTTGAAAGGAGAGGAAATGATACCTGTACCATGTCAACTGTATTTTTCTTTAAGTGCTTAGTATGTACTAAGGTGCCACTCAGGAGTATACTATTTGCCTTGCCATTTATCACTCATTCTTAATACCATTCCTAAAATATTTATTAATAGTAGGCTTTTCAGTATGGTGAGGACTGAAATTATATATTGCCTATAAATTTTTTACTTAGCAAAACTGAAGACACAAACTGAAATTAGGAAGTTATGCTGGATATTAAATGATGTTTTCTTTTTTGACAGCTTTACTGTTTGGTGGGAAAATTAATCCAGCTCATCCAAAACACATTGGAAGCATCGATCCTAACTGCAATGTTGTTGAAGTTATTAGAGGTAACTTCAGATGATAAGAACAAGAATCCTGAAAACTTACATGAATGACTATACTAGGAGCAAATACACACCCTGATATGAATATATTGTTTTGTTCTTTCCTACCTGGAGCAAAAGTTCTGTGTGACATGAAATACAATTTTGTTTCTTTTTCCTATAAATGTAGCTTTTCTGAAAAAAATACGAATCTCCTTGGCAGCACACACTAGTTTCAAACTTTGTTTTTTTGGCAGACTCTTAAGGAGGAAAAAAAAGTGGGAGGGGGAAACGTAACTTCCTCTGTCTTTTACTATAGATGGCTATGAAAATGCCAAGAGACTTTGTGATTTATATTACATGAGCTCTCCAGAACTTATCCTTGAGGAGTTGAATGGTAAGTGAATGTGGACAAAGCATGTTCTTGAACATCATGATGGCTTCTTCTAAAGGAGCTGGCAGTGAAATGTTCTGCTTTTCACATAATTCATGTGTTCTCTGTATCTACTGTCATAGATTGGGTTTTTTAAAATTTGGCAGAACGCTTTCCCCATTCCTCCCTTTAATCAGAAAACTGACATGAGTAAAAGGTCTTTGATTCTAGAGCTGTTGATATAACAAATTTTAGCAGGCTCCTTCCCTTGCTAAGATTTCATGTCTTCACCTGACATTATTGCATCTTACTCTCTCTGCATTTCTTGCAACACGTTAAAGATTTATACAAGACGTTCCATTCCATCTTCATGATACCTATAAGGAGGTTATTTGAAAGCAACTATGATATACCCTAGTCAGTGATCCCATGCTGGGTTTTAAAATTAATTTCTAAAGCAGCAAGCAACATTTGAAAATCATGATTATGACTTTTGATTAACACATGAATTTTCAAAATATTTCTGTTCAAATTTTCCTTCTTTCCATTTGTCAATACAAATTTACATTTTGAATTACTGTGGGAATGAATAAAAGACATGTCATTTGCTATTTAGTTATTTAGACTCTCTTCTCTCCAGCTAAATCACCGGGACAGCCCATGCAAGTGGTTTATGTGCCATCACATCTCTATCACATGATTTTTGAACTTTTCAAGGTCTGTGCACTTACCATTAATTACACGATTCTTTCATTCATCTTTGTTTACTGAGGTTGTATTGCTTTGACTTTTCAAACCAATTCTAGATCACAGTGTGTTTCTGCAAGTGCAAACTTCTTGCCATTTGACTGCAAGAACACAGCTACCCTGTACTATTAGAGAAACAGTAATTGCACAGAAAATTAACAGCTTTGGAAGATGTATCTGTTTCACCTAGCCACTGAATACCTTCTGAATAGACAGCTTAAATCTTAGAATGTATGAAGACACTATTTAATAAAGCAAGTGACAATAAGATATCCCATAAATTGTGTATCTTCAAATCTGATAAAATGTGTAACAGGTCCTGTAGAGCTCTTCTGAAGCAGTTTACTCCTAGACTTTTCTTGGATTTAATGTCATATTGCATGTACTATGTGCATTATAAAAAAATCTAGAACACAAATGCTGTTAAACTATTCATGATTCCTTTAAAAAAATTAAATATTTGCAGTCTCTGTATTATAATAAACTAAATATATACTGATATTGAATAAACCAGGAATTTCAAAAAACCCATTCTAAAACCAATATACATTTGTTCTGATTCTTAAATATATGATAAAAATAACTGCTAAATTGATATTTTAAGATAATATATAAAGTGAGTAGGATTTAAGTTGTGCTTGAAAATTACAGAATGCAATGAGAGCCACCATGGAACATCATGTTGATCAATGCATTTATCCTGCAATTCACGTACACATCACGTTGGGAAATGAGGATTTAACTGTGAAGGTACTCACTTTTTTTACTGTTCCTAAGGTTATTTTGATTATATTTTTTTTTTTTCCTGTCATGAGCAGCATATTAATAACTTGAGCTGGTGATCTGGTTCCATCAATAGATTTATGTGATGACATATCTAAGTAAAAAAACCCTTATGGAATTTCACATACTGCCTCATGAAGAAGCTGCAGGCACACTGAGGGCTCTGCAATAGCATCCTGTACTTGCTTGTGTCTTGCCTAGCTTAGAAGTAACCATGACTAAAAATGAAGTAGCATCTTCATACAATTGTAACATCAACATTTTCTGAGTGACAATGACAGAACTATACAGGTGTTAAACAACTGAAGAAAGGTTAATATATATTGTAAATTCCAAACAAAACAAACCTCCTAAAGTAGAGTTTGCAGTTTCTTCTTTTTCTGTACAACATCCATGTTTGATTTCAAAGACCAGCTGGAAGCACTGGGTTTTTTATAGGTTTAACTAAACTGCAGTAAAACAACTCCTTTGACTTACTCCTTCAAGTATTAGGTTTTAGTAAATTATATTTAAATAATTGTATATTATTATTATATTTAACAACTGTGTATATTTAATAATTGTATATTATTATTATTATTATATGGCAGTATTCTTGAGGAATAAAGATAAAATACACAAAACCTAGCATTTGCTAAAAGGTATAGATAGTGACTTCAGACAAAAGTGTGTTATGAACAAGATAAAAGCAATGCACAATTCAAGCAGAATTTCTTTTCCTCCAAGAGATTATGAATGCTTCTTATTGGTAGTATTTTATTTAATGGCTTGGAAATGGGATGAAAGGGAAGGATTCATCTCTCCTTGGTCATTGTTGAAGATGAGAATTAAAGAAAATCTGTAACTTGGTAGGGACAGCTTCAAATAATACTTTGACAGAACTTTCCCTGTTCATGACTTATTGTTTGAGAAAAGCAGTCTTTTATAAAAATGGATTCAGGGATATAAAGCTAAATGGTCCTTCTTGTTCCAGATGAGTGACCGTGGTGGTGGTGTTCCTATGAGGAAAATTGACAGACTGTTCAACTATATGTATTCAACAGCTCCACGTCCTCGTGTTGAGACTTCACGAGCTACACCTTTGGTATGCAAGTCTTTTATACCCTGGCATCATAGACAGGTCTAATTGTTACAAAAACCATTTAGCCAAAGCTATGAAATACTGATTTTATAGATATTTCATTGAGTAATATTTGAATTTTACTTAATTCAAGCTTAATTAAAGTATTTTTCAAAAAATAACAGGAAAATGGCATAGAACACTAAAAATTATTTAAATTTGTTCAAGATTTTCTTTTTTCTACTAAATCTAAAGATCAGCCACCTCAAGCAGAGTACTTAGGTATTCTGCACATACTGCAGTGAGAACAGGATTCAGAATTATTTTTGTAGCCACTCAATGAAAGGAAGAAAATTGTAGCAATGACCTTAGATCAAGGCTATAGTTCATTTGTATTGTGTAGTTAATTGTACCAACTCCACAATGATGACAAGCAAGGATGACAAGTGACAGGGCATATGAAGAAACCACTTGGGTCTCATGTGAATGTAATAAATGCACAAGAAATAAAGCCTAAGCTCTCAGAAATTAGAATCTCTGAACAGCTTTCCTGTATTTATTCTCCCACATTACATCATTTAAAAAATATGTAGTTCTGTATGTAGATGATTCTCTACTCACGAAGCATGAGATCTTTCCAGAGGAGTGTTATGCATGCTCATTTAGAGATTACCTCTAAAATTTAGTATTTAAACAAAAAAATCATGCTTAACAGTTTAGTGCTCTTTGCTATTACAGCCAGGGCTTGTGAGAATTTCAGGATAAGCTGCATACTCATAGACATTGTGTCTTGAACCTTTTTTTTTGTATACTGACAGTGAAATATATCTGACTTAAGGACACTAAGTACTCAAGATTAGTAGCTCCACGAGGCGTGATGTAGACACAGCACAGTTTTCTCTAATGGCATCTCTTCACAAAGCTACCATATAATACAAGATGTGTTATCTACCAGCCCTGCCTGACAAAGGAATCAGTCTTCTCATAACAATCATTCATGCATTCTTCTGGTTTTGGGGTAAATAACAGCTTGGGGGAGAGGAGGGCATAATAGTTAACATCTCAACTCCTGTTACTGTCAAACATCATGCTTAGTTCATCTATTTTACCTATTAAGTTAAAACAGAAAATGCCACTGATTAATGCAATTAATGAAAGTATATTTTTTCTCCTGATCAGGCTGGATTTGGTTATGGCTTACCCATATCACGTCTGTATGCACAGTACTTCCAAGGAGACCTGAAACTGTATTCCTTAGAAGGCTATGGTACAGATGCAGTTATTTACATCAAGGTATGATGCAACACTCTACCACTTTAGATTTATCAGCAACTCTAATCTGAACTGCTAATGGAACTCCTTGTTTCATTGTGGTAACTTCAATTAAAAAGAATCATCAGCTACAGCTTTTTCTCTTCACAGGCCTTATCAACAGAATCAATTGAAAGACTCCCTGTATACAACAAAGCAGCCTGGAAACATTATAAAGCAAATCATGAAGCCGATGATTGGTGTGTGCCAAGCAGTGAGCCAAAGGACATGACCACTTTTCGCAGTATGTAGCTTTTTCCTCAGCAGCTCCTAAGAAGTACATTTGTCTGTGAAGGGAATTTAGAAGACCTAATTTATACCAAGATGTTGAGCCACTTAGATATGTGAAAGTAATTTTAAGTGGTGTAACAGAAAGTTTACTGTATTTAGGCTTCTCTGAAATTAAAAAATCAACAGCCACCAAAACCCCCTAACCTGTACCTATAAAGAAAGGTTATACTTCATTTGTTTCACTTTCTGTTTATGACTGCTTTCAGAGCAAAGTCAAAGGAGCAATATTTTGGTTTTTATAGGGATCAATGCAATGTCTATCACATCTGATATTAATCTGTATTGTTACAAATTTTATTAGAAAAACTATTGAAAAAGCTTACTGGAACATTCTTCCATTATACAATTCTACAGATTAATGAAAAACTTGTGTAAGAATTATTGAGCTCATTGCTAACTTTGCAACTCTATTGGCACTTTCTTTTATCCTAAGCATGCTGAAGCTTAATTTTGCTAAGTTAGATAAGTTGCCTACATATACTGCCTACATCAAGGGGGTTTTTTCAGCTGTAGAAATCACACATCTCCATAGGGATAAAAAATTTTAAAAAGCGTTTGTAACTGCTACTACTGCTATAATGTATCTCAGGTATGTGGCATCAGTTGTATTTCTTTGGTTGTAATGTGAATATATAATGGATGTGAAAAACTTATCTTGCCCTGATCATTGTGAATTAAAAATTAGCATTGGCTTGTGTACAGTAGAGAAATGTCTTGCACTTGCCTCTATTTCTGTAGGTCATACCAAAACATGGTATCAACATTCTAGCCTTCAGACTTGGGCGTGTCAGGTACAGCTGTAAATGGAAACTATTTTAATAAACAGATTTTTAAGATTTGTCTGTAATAGGGCATCTCTATTACTTTGACAGTGTAATATGTGGAATTAAGTTTCTGGAAGTACCTTTGCATTTGTGATATGTTCCTGGCCTCATTTTTGTAGTAACTGGAATTCACACTGTAACATAAACATAATAACCAGAGTATGTTAATCAGTCAAAGACAAATCAGAACATACAGAGGAAGATAGAGAGGGGAGTGAATCTTGTATTTCAGATACAGAGTCCTTTTAATAAAGAATTGAATTTAATGCCTACTGTACGAGCTTTGTTCAAATCATACACAACTATGTTGCACCTTGATCCCTGTCATTCCTGAACATTTTTGGAGTGATGCAGTTAAAGTCATTGAGGTCTAATACTTTTCTCAGTTAATTAAACTGCATGTAATTCAGTGGGTTTTTTTCTGCAGCTGACATGCATAATCCCTCTCAGAAACAGTAAGTCTAGCTTTTGCTAGTTTACTATCTCTGTGCAGAGCAGAAGGTGAGATACCACAAGTGAAGGGGATAGGTGGGATGTTGGAAATTGAAGGCATGCTACTCTAGTTGTAGCTGAGCCAGATTCAAGATTTAACACCTGCTATCTCCCTCGCCAAGTTCTGCAAAACAATGAAATGGTTTTATACCCTTGTTAAGCTAATGTAGATAACTTTAATAGAAGTGTGTTACAAACTGGGCTGTACACACAGTTAAGGGAGTACACACAGTCTGAGGGAGTATTATTGTATCTTAATTGCCACTGGAACAGTAGGGTTACCTATTCCACTTAAGCTTGTGGGCACCTTGAGGCCCCTGTTTTTCTTCCTTACAAGGATTCAGGGTAATAACTGGCACACCTTTCAATCTGCATGGCTACAAGTGAGGAGAACTGAGAGCTGTTCTCTTATTTGGCCCTGGCAAAAGGATGTGAGTAATGCCACATAGTATAAAATGGGGCCTGTACAAATGTTAGGAGGGACACGTGCAGCAACTGCTTTTGCTAAAGCTGAAAGTTACAGCAAGGGCTTTTAAAAACTCAGAGCTGAAGCTGAGCATTCTAGCCTTTAAATATCTTAACTAACTCAATTGATTTTAGTAACATCGGACAACTACAAGTGGCATTTCTGAAGAAAAGCTGAGTTTCTACAAACTGTCTATTAAGTATTTTACTAAAGTCTCCATGTTCTCAGCTAACTACCAACTGAATTCCGATTACTAGAGCAACTTGCTGTATAATTATATTTGTAGTTCTCTTCACCTGCCATCCCAAATGATTGTGGTGAAAACACAAATGCACAGTTTTGATTTACAATATTTAATCCTTGTTACAAATTTGATCTTTGATAACTTTTAGTTTAAACAGAAGTGCAGAAGACAACTTTTGTATTTAGTATTTTCATTACTATACTGAAGTCATTGTGAGCACACTGGTTAAGTTGAAGTTAATCACTACAGAACATACTGTCAAAATGCAGAGATTAATAGTTTTGTATGCAAATTAGCTAAGTCTTGCACTGTAAAATTAATCTTGGTTTGTGTTAATTTTTTGAAAGAATTGCTGGATTTATTCATTAAAACTATTGTAAAAATGAAACCTTGTTGTGTGACTATGTAGCTTTGTACTGAGCTCATTCCATGCAGCCAGCCTTCTCATTCAACATCCACCAGATACCACTCAGGTGCCAGGGGAGTTTATCAGCCCTTCCATGGCCCCTCCTTACCTGTAACAGCTCTGCACACAGGGAAACCTCTGAAACCATTATTTCCACTAGTCTCCTTCATGAGAAAGCTCCTCCCAGAGTGCAACAGTAGGCTTAAAGAGAAAATATTCTGTGCAATATTCTGTGTTCTAGCTGTGAAAATACTCAACTTTCTTGACTGAATTAATTAAAGGGTGGTTTTATGTGGGAGATCCTGAGCATTTGATGATTCCATAGATCTAATTCCTCTCTCATCAGTAGGGCAGCATTCCTCTTTGGTTCAGGGTCTGTAAGTTTGGCACACAACTAAAAGCTACCGTGAACAAAGCAGATAAGTTAAATCTTGACCAAAGAATGCATAAAACTGAAATATAATCTCTTTCAAAAAAGTAATTATTATCAAGATTTTCAAACTTTATTTTGGAAATGCCTAGTGTGCAGAAGCATTTCCACACAGTCCTTCTGCTGAAATTCTTAAGATATTTATACAAAAAAATAATAAATGTGAAACACCAACAGTGAAGTTCATTCATTTAATTAAAATGAAAAACAATCCATAGATTTAAAGGAGAACTTGGTCCACATAAACAAACTAAGTAAGTTTTGTTCTAGTCCATTCTAGGGTGGAACTGATATTTAATCTAGTCTATGTTTCTGGAATAATCTAAATTAAGGAAGTGCTCTTGTAGTATCTCTAGAAAATAGTATGTAAATATACAAAACACCAAGTCATGTTCTAAGCTATTTCAAGAATCAAATCCTCCTTTAAAGAGAAATAATCTGTAGTCTACAACTGAACATTTAAATACAAGGCAGAAACCCAGTGCGTCAGTGATAATTTTTCCTACAAGTCTTCCCTCAGTATTTTAAGTCTGAAAAACAGTATTGTTTAAAATTAGCAAATATATAAATTTGGTCCGCAAAAAATCTTGTAGCATGTAGAAAAGAGAAATACATGTATTGCAAATTGATCTTATTCATAGCATAGATCTATAAAACTATGTATTATTTAGGAAAAATAGGTTAAAAAGGATCTTATTTATAGGCTTAAACCTTGTCCCAACACCATACAGGTAGTGTACAGAAAACTTAGTATTATGTTTAGGATATGTAGTTTGTGAAAACTACTTAGTATTTCTTCTTCGTTATTTTCTCAGTAAATTGCAACACATAGAATTCAAAAACAATGTGCTACTAAAGTGAACTTTGAATGAAGTTCCAGAAGTACAATAATTAAAATAATCCTAAATTTGAAATACATGCTTTCTTTTTAAATTAACTTGACATTACCATTTTCTTAAACTTAATTTTTACTATACATCTCTAGTGGCAACAGATAAACAGACTGTCACAGACTGAACTTGTTGGCAGGATTTTTCTATCGTCCCTCTATCAGCTTCAACTCTATCAAATGCTAGTTGACTAATACTGGAATGATTTTTAATACAGCATTCTACTTTTCACAAACATCAATTTCAATGAAAAGGGAATATGACACGTCAGAAGAAGAAATGTTACTTAAGGCAGAAAGTTAAATTATTGTCTATTAATACAGGCAGAGTCAACTAGAAATAAAAATACTGAAAACATTATTTCATTTTATTGGGCTGCAATGGGGAGGGACCGAAATTAAGAAGAAAAAAAAACACCTACCACATTGAACTGTTGCACTTTCCCTCCTCCCTCAATTGTACAATTATATACAAATCTGCTGAACTTCATCAAGATTAGGCAAGTCTGCACTAAAATAAAATGGTCATTTTAGCAGCTTGATTCAAGAGTGGCCACCACTCTGCCAGTCTTGCGAACTTCTTTCTCCTTCTTTTGAACCTTTTCCTTCTGCTTTTCCAGTTTTTCCTGTGTTTTTCTAATATCCTTAATTTTTTTCTTTATTGTTGATCGGTCATTTTGACTGGAAACTCCCAAAGCCTTTGAAGGAGGAAAACAAAACAAAACCTCATCAATAATTTTTTTTTCAACAGCACTGTCAACAGTGCTTGTGCATTAACAATGTAAGAAAGTGTTATTCACTTTTTGACATGATAGTCTGTTTATTTGAAAAACAAAGACTTAGGACCTTGAAAACATTGTAAATAATCATCTGGGTAACAAGGTAGGTAAGAAAACCAAGGCCAGCTCTTCAGTTGTGAAATAACAGTTTCGTGTCACATTTTACAAATATGTAAGCCCCTGAGAACTTCCAGAAAATAACATCATAGGTAGTAGTCTCCAGATATTTTTCTAGCTCCTTTTATACACGAGTTTCTATTCAGTAACTACTCTTTAATTTTAAGGATTTGAAAGTGTATTGTTAAGAAGTGTCTCAGGAAGCGGACGGAACACTTCGATTTGCGATCGGCAGGTGGCAGCGCGCGATTCCAAGTGCCTGACCACACTCGCACAGTGTCAGCCCAAACGCATCAAGTGCACACTGAGCTTTAGGCATCAGCGTTTGGGGTTCCACAACTGGAAAGTCATTTGGCAGGCCAGTCACTGGTATTTTCTCTGTGCCCATGAAATTTTATAAAATACAGGATATTTAGTGTTGCATGTCTATTTAAAATGCAGGCATATTCTGGAGACAGAAGTTAGAACACCTTTCCCCCCCAACCCCCTCAAATTTTGCTATTGATCATTAATAATAATTTGCCTTACACCAGAATAGACCAATGAACTTCTTCCAGCTGCACATCTTGCCTGTCCATAATGCAGTTTCATAATCTAACAAGAAATAAAAACTGCAGGAATTTACTGTAAGGGATACATGTGCACTGCAGCTTCCAGGTGTAAAATGGTAAGAAAAGGCTCAGAAGATTCAGAATATGTATTTTCAGCAGGAGTAAAAACCTGAGACATTTAAAATGTCACCAAATAGGATTTTAGCCTTCCCATTTGAAGAGGAAATGTCAAAGGTACAAATTTCTAAAACTTGATCCTGTGATTCTATTTGAATTGGCCAGAACTTGTTTTGATATGACCTTATGCTGAGATTGGTGACAGACACATCAAGACTCCTTGGAAAATTATGCTTCCTTTAATTTCCTCAAGATACAAACAATGAAGCAATATTTGTTATCTTTCTGGCTATAAGCAGCCAGTCTTTAATTCTACAATTACAAATTACTATCTAACTAATGAAATAACAAGAGCAAATAACTCTACCCCTTTAAAAAGCCACAAAACCAGGAAACTGGACTTTGTAGGTTAAAAATATAAGCAGTGAAACAATAATAATAATATATAATACATAATGATATACAATATAATATATAGTAATATAATATAAGCAGTGAAACCTATACAGTTACAAATCTACCTCAGGATGTTCACATACCTTCAGCTTCTCACTGTCAAGCTGCATCAACTGCTGTCCATCTACGTTCATAGCTGTGAACTCTGTAATATACTGCTCCATGTTCATTCCCATTAACCAGTGGCATACTTGCTGGGTAGTCCATTCAGAAATAGGTCTACTGTGCCACTGATTTTGCTTTCCTGTTGTTGTAAATTCATCATCCAATGCCTAACCAATTGAGAAAAGTCACCATAAGCAATATTTTACTTGACTGTACGTTGAATTCCAACTGTCAACTGAGTTTGGTTAATAAAGTGCATTTTTAAACATGCTGTACTCCAAAAGTCAAGTTCTCGAGATCAGTTTTCCCAGTTTACTATAAACAAGACACTTCAACATTCAACACAAAGTCAGAAACAGAGAACATAAATAGTAAACTGGACCTATCCAAACAATGAACACACTTCCTCAGTTAGTTGGTTAAGGTAGCTCTATGTTAGTGTTAGATGCTACCTTACACACCATGAAGAATTATCAAGCACTTCAACTCTATTATTATTGTTAAGTGATCAAAATCCAGAATAAAAGCAATTCTAGTAGCTAGTAAATCTGGTGAGTGTTCTAGGTACAGTTTTATTACATTTTGTACATTTGTAAAGAGAAGATTGTTTGTTCTTTGAACAAATGCTATTACATCAACATTTTAAAAAGTCTGCCCAAATAGAAGATGACCATTTCAGAAACCTAACAGCTTGCAGACTTCCACTGAAAATACACTTTGCCAGCTCACAGAGCTTTTGAGGCACCCTGCTTCAATTTAATATTGCTACTGAGAGAAAAAGTTACTGCTGTTTGTCCTGAAGCACTATTACTTCATCACAAGAGAAAAGCTACACTGTTCCTACACTAAGCAACAGAGCTAAGCTCTGTAGAGAAGAAATTCCAGTGTGGTACTTGAATCAGTGATACCAGTTAACTAAAGCTTTATTCACTATCCAGAATCATCTCTCATTAGCACATGACTGAGTACAGGCTGCATTAGACTTGCAGACTGCTCCACTAGGCAGCTTCCACTACTCATCCAAGATATTTGTAAACAGCAGAAAATATGCTCCCCTTTTCCAGCAAGCCTTATACACGAATTTGTAAACAGAAAATGTGGAAAAAAGTTTTCTAGTTATGGATTGGAGAGATGACCCTGTAAAGTTGCAGGTGAACAACTACAGCAGCCAGCCAAAGGGATCTCAGAAAATTCAGCTTATTTGATGGAATATTTGGAAGAGATGATTGATGTAACAAAATTATTGTGGTGATTACAAGTCAAGGACAGTGAGATATAGGCCTGTCACATGATCTGATCATACAACACAATGGATCTGAGCATACCATATGGAAGACATGTAGGAGGTGAAACATAACATTTTCAAATTTCCAGTTTAGCGATGGACTACATGAAATTTCAAATGGCTTTGCTTTTCCTGGTCTGTGAAACAAGGGACAGTAGCTACATTAAGAGGCAATGCAGATAAATAGGAACGAGTCTGTAGAGCCGAACAGTTTGTGTTGGGGTCCTAAAATCCACACTAGAAGGATTTCAAA